TCACACTAACAGACGATCGAACACTATTCGGAATCATGCCTTTGTACTCTTGTAGAAGTGTTCCTCGAAGGGAACGCATGTAGAATGATGAGTCTATAACAGTACCGTCTTCACAATTCACACAAAAAAAGGAAAAGAAAAAGAAAACGTGCAAATGATAGAAAGAACGCACACTCGAGTTCAGTTTTGATCAAAGACCTAAGTAGGATATAGTTTCAAGAGTATAGATATTTTTTTACGTGTACTGTAAATGATAATAAGTGTATGTACTACATGTTCTCAAATGAAGGAAATTTTACATCAGTCATCAAGATCCTTCATATTAATTTCATTAGCTGAATGTGCAAACACTAAATCATCACTGGTTTTATTTTCAGAATGCAATTCATTTGCACGTAAAAAAACTATTTTTGGAATACTTCGTCACAGATTTTCACAATTGTTACTTTCACTAAGAACACAAAATCAAGTCTAGATAATATATTTCTGCGCGTTTAATGTCTAAAAAACAAAACAAAAAACCGTATTGGTTATGTATGATTGACATATTTTGGCTCGAAACCATTTTGGCACATTTTCAAAAACCCATTTATCACCTCATGAGTTCCAGCCAAGATGCATAATCCTGTGCATGGTGAATGGTCATACGTTATTTTTTCTTGCATCACAGAGGTGTGTGTGTGTGTGTGTGTGTGTGTGTGTGTGTGTGTGTGTGTGTGTGTGTGTGTGTGCGTGCTTGTGGCTGTTTGCGTGTGAGTGCATGCATATGTGTGTAAACATGTATGTACAGTATATCTCGTAACAACACATGGACAGAGATAACCACTGGACACGAGTATCATATTCTGAAACGAGTTCAAAAGTACAAAATCCATTTCTTGGTACAGCTTGATTGGCCCGAGGCGCTTAACTTTATTTCCTGAAAAGTTAATATATCTGGATCCCCCAAAATGGCGCGATTTTAGGATTCCACGCGCCTATGTCTTTTTATCTCGTAATAGTTCACATTTAAAAATAGAATAATGAAATGATAATCATGAGAATACTATTTCCCTGTAAAATGTCTATAATCCTAGACACAGATATTTTCTTAGCTTTGGTCAGTCATACATATAATATATTTTCATTGATCATTATCTTTCATTGATTTTGATAAAATATGTCATTCATTTTTTATATAATTAATTTTATACCATGTGTCATTTTATTTTTGTAATACGTTAAGGTTTCTTTTATTCTGTTCCATTTATGCTCTCATTTTTGTAATTTGCTGAGATTCTTTTATTCTATTTCATATATCCATTTACTTTCATTTTTACTTTTATTCAGTTTTATTATCTTTTCCATTTCTTAAGATCTGTTGAGGTTTCTTTGGCCCGAAAGAATGGCAAGCGAGACGATGGTCCCCAAGGCTGGACTGGAAGATGGTGTTACGTGAGAATACCTTTTTATTTCCCCTTTTTTCCGCTAGAGGGCAGGTTCTGAGGGGACGGTGGCATCTGAGGCGAAAAC